AAGGCACATGGACTCAGCACAGAAGAGTTTAACCAAACAACAAAACAAAGAAAATGACCCGATCACATCTAACTAAACATTCCCTATCACATGCCCGTATCTTCAAGGTCCGGTCCATTTCTAGGCATGGGAATTCCTTTTCTGGGCATGAATATCCCTGTGCTTCAATTCATCCGCCCTCTCCCCCCAGCTTATGGTTTAAAAACTCCCACAAAGAAAAGCAGCAAGCAGATTCCCTTTCAATTCAAATCTCAACACTTTCTTCCCATTGGTTCTCCTGGCTCCCTATCAACACTTCCTGGATTTTTCAGGGATTCTCTGAATTTAACCCTTTGTAGGCAGTACTCTTCCCCCTCCCATCCATCACAAGAGCTTACCTTTGAAAAGGCATCCTCCCAGGAAAGGGTCTTCACAGGCTCGACAACTGCTGAACAAGCAGCTAAGGGTTTCTTTTAAGGAAAGAAAAAGAGACAAGCTAAGGATATCCCATGTCCTGATAGCAAGAACAATGGGCATCATCACCTTCAGGGTTAGATTAATGCATAAAGGAACATGGCTGGGTTCCCCTGGCCCCTGTAAAACAATCACACTGTTTTATCCAGCTGTGTTGCAGGATAGGGGGGAAATGCAGACACAGAGAGACTGAGCAACTTGCTCAGAGCAAAACAATGGCTCAGGAGCTGAGCCACGGAATGGAATCCATAATACCTAACTCCCAGTCCTGTACACTGACCACTAGATAAAACTCCCGCCTGTGCATCTTGGGCTGTCTATTGTGGTCCTCCTGGCTTCCATTCTCCTGGAGGTACCCTGAGCCACAGAGGTGAAAATCATGCAGTGTCTCACAGAAGCCACCGGCAACCCATACATCAGGGGCCAACAAGAGGGCCAATTAATGCTAACTATGGCGCTGACCTGTACCAGGCAAATAGCAGCTTCAATAAGTCTTTCTTACCACCCACTGAACCTTATATGGGCTTGATGCTTCACAGCCAACAGCAGTGAGGGGACCAATCTGATGGAGCAAAAAACGCAATAGTCTAAGCAGACTGATGCAACAGGGAAAATAAACCGATGCGGCACTAACATAAGCTGAGTGGCAAAGTTGTAAAACAAGGGCAATGAAAGGAACTGTGTGCTGGAAACAAGGGAGCGAGTAGGGTTAAGTCAGAGGAGCTGTTATCATCTCTAGGCCAGACCCCAGTGCAACTCAAGTCAATTTCCACCAGCCAAAGATCTAGCCCATTAGGTTTCTCCAGTAGCATCAGTCCAGTAGGACTTTTCCAAAGCTTCAAAAATTAGCGATAGGAAAATAAACAAAGGGACTTCTTGTTATTTCTAATTCATGGCCTCTCTTTTATGAAGTGTTGTTCCTAGACCCATCTAACCAGTTCTCCATCCTGTAACAAATGCACTGAAACTCACTGGCTTGCTCTGTGGTAACCCAGGGGAGAATACAAGTCCCTTTGGCTTGTAGGGGAGGTTCTCCACTGACTGCAGTGGGAGTTGGATCAAGAGCTGGGAAGGGAATCTATTGTAGGCATGATAGGACTCCAGATATGTATCATGTCTGTTTTGCATTGTTGTGGCCCCTACTGTTTGTACATGCAGTTATTTTCCATATGCTTTGCCTAACCTAAATTTACTTTACATGTACTTCTACAATATAAATGTTTTAGAGGGAAAAACAAAGCAATACATTATCATTCAGGCCTGCAGCAAGAGGTGCTTAATAAAAACTTGCCACACATGATATAGAACTGTAAATAATAATGTAATTTCCCTGTCTCTTCTGCCATTAGACAGCATCTGTCTTACATTCTCCCCAGTACAGCTGATGTGGGAGCAGGATTAGGGTTCCATAAGGGACTCTCTACGTAGTATATAACAAGCAATTCATAAAAGGACTTGACACCAATGAGAAAACCACTTCTTATCCAATGTTAACAGCTGGCTAGATGGCCCCCTTTCAGTGCAAAGCTCTGTTCACTGCAAATTGTGGTCCTGCTGCACGACAGACTCGTCTTACTTCAGCAACGCTGGTGTTCTTTGCAATCCGAAGCACTATTCCAAAGAGTAAGTTTCTCTATGGGCCCTGGAATCTACAAAGCAGCCACCATTCTATCGACTGCAGTGGGAATCAAATGGTACTGTAGCGATTCCGCATCTCTCCAGGCTTGGCCCAAATGGTGCAAGCAGGGCCCAAAGTTATTCAGAAACAGTAATGAATAATCTCAGAGAGGGAGCCGTGTTAGTCTGTAACTAAAAACGAGTGGTTCTGTGGCACCTTAGAGACTAACCAAAATATATGGGGTTTGTGGCGTTTTGCTCATGGAAGCTCATAATTCCATATATTTTGGTTAGTCTTCAAGGAGCCACAGGATCACTTGTTTTTAAAACTAATGAATAATAAATACCTAGCTCTTGTATGGTGCTTTGAATCCAGATATCTCAAGGTAATGCAGCCTTAGACATGCAGATTGCTAGCTTCAAACCCACAGCTCCATTCCGCATCCTCGATTCACATAAGTAATCCATACTCGTGCAAACAGCCCCCTGACTTTGGAGAGACTGATAAGGCCTATCATTAGCCTTCACTCATGAGAGGGAGCAAATGTTCACTTGCTAATTTTCGGCGGCATGCTGTGATAACAAACCGAGTGAGCTTTTCTGCCGGGGAAGCGTTAGAGAATTCACAGCGTATTATGCAAATGTTGGTTATTAAAAAAAAAAAAAAGACTGATTTGTCTTTCTTTGCCAGAGGTTTAGGACTTTCTTAGAATGCTCCTGCATTGATCCACTGCTCTCTGAGGAAATCTGTGGGAATGTTACACTGTCCGCAGCAGTGAGAACTTCCAGCCTAGGTCGGCGGCTTTGAGCTAGGGGGTTTCATGCTGGCGTTCTAAAAATAGCTGTGTAGACAGCACTTCGAGGAAGTGGTTCAGGTTGAAGCTTGGGCTCAGAAGCCCAGCCCACCCCAGGCTTCAGGGCCCAAGCTACAACTTCAAAGTGGTGTTTATATAGTTACTTTTGTTGCACAAACCTGAATCTCTACATCTGCCCATCCAGGCTGGAAGGCCTTAAATCAGGAGAACGCTTAAGCATGTACTGAACTGGAGCAATTTGCTTACATCCCCGTGTGTGGAATGAGCACTCCTGGAATAGGGATGCTTCTTCAAATTAGTTTGGGACAAGATGTACCTGACCGTTATCCGTGAGTTTTACCAAAAGATGGCACCCTCCAAAGCTGTGATCCTGGGCACGAGCACCCAGAGGGTGTCAGAAATCATTAGCCTGTCTCCGGCCATTTTGTGGGGTTTTCCTGGTGTACGTTACAAAGGCTCGTTCAACAAGGGTTGTATTGACTTTGACCTTCCACTGGAAACCCCAATCATTACACTCTGCATAGGTCTCACCGGCTATTGTTTAAAAGTAAAAAGAGTCATTGCATGAGTGGGACAGAGACACGGCCCCTTGTGTGTGTATGTGCTCTGTGCCCTTCTCAAAGGGGCCCCGATCCTTCATTGGAACTTCTGAGCACTCCTGCAATCCAATAAAGCATCACAATGGGCAATTACTTAATAATGAATAATTAATAGTTAATTATATTAATAGTTAACATAATAGCTAATAAAAGTTAATATAATGATATAATAATTAATGCCAGTTAATATAATTAATAGTTAATAATATTAATATTACATAAGAACATAAGAATGGCCGTACTGGGTCAGACCAAAGGTCCATCTAGCCCAATAGTCTGTCTGCCGACAGTGGCCAGCGCCAGGTGCCCCAAAGAGGGTGGACTGAAGACAATGATCAAGCGATTTGTCTCGTGCCATTCATCTCCAGCCTTTGACAAACAGAGGCCAGGGACACCATTTCTATCCCCTGGCTAATAGCCTTTTATGGACCTAACCTCCATGAAATTATCTAGCTTCTCTTTAAACTCTGTTATAGTCCTAGCCTTCACAGCCTCCTCTGGCAAGGAGTTTCACAGGTCTACTATACCCTGTGTGAAGAAGAACTTTCTTTTATTAGTTTTAAACTTGCTACCCATTAATTTCATTTGGTGTCCTCTAGTTCTTCTATTATGGGAACTAATAAATAACTTTTCTTTATTCACCCTCTCCACACTACTCATGATTTTATATACCTCTATCATATCCCCCCTCAGTCTCCTCTTTTCTAAACTGAAAAGTCCCAGACGCTTTAGAAAAAATGGATTGTTAATCATTGATAATTGATGATAGTAACTATAATTTGTTTTTCATAATTTTATCCTTTTATTTCTTAATACCCAAAGGAGCATTTGCTCTATTGAATTTAAAAAAAAGATGAAATAATCAATAAAAGCCACAAACCATAAAAGGCTAAAGGTTAGGCTCCTAAGACCATACTTAGGCACCTAAATAAAGGAGCCTGGATTTTCAATGTGCTGAGTGCCAGCAACTCCCAGTGGGATTCGTAGGCACACAGTACGTTTGAAAAAAAAAATCACACCTCTTTTATTTAAAGCCAACACACGGATTTAAAAGCCTAACATTAGGTTCCAGACCTTTAAAGGTATTAGGCACCTAACTCTCGTTGATTTCAGTGCCTAGATGATTTAGGTGCCTAAATACTTTTGAGGATCTGGCACTCAGGTCTTGATTCAAAAAAGCCCTTTTGAAAATCCCAGTTTAAGCTAACGAGGTGCCCAAATCCCCTTGCAAATTAATGGGAATCAGTCATCCAGTTGCCTTATACGCCTTTGAACATCCCAGACTTGTGTTTAACTTGAAGTTAGTGCTTAAATTCCATTCTAATTAGTGTGACTTAAGCATATAGATAAAATTAAACATGTGCTTTGCTGTACCGGGGGCCCCCGCTTGAAACTTTTGGCCATAACGTCCAAGAGAATTCAACTTTATAACTAAAACAGATTGAATTTGCATGGCGTGATTTCATTTTTGTAAGGGCGTGTTCAGTTTTAGATCAAAGCCTTAAAATGATCAAATAATTATGACGAAATAAATGTTTATGCCTAATTATTAAACAAATGTCTCCTCTACTGAGGCAGGGTTTAGACACCACGTGGAGAAGAGTCTTAGAAATGAGACATTGGAGGCTCAGTCTGCACTGCAGACCAGAAAATTATTTTCTATTCTGATCCCAGCACAGAATTTCCAAGAGTTGCTCCACAAAACATTTCTTGAGCATCCCGTTCAACTTCCCTCTGAATCCATCTTCCATATAATTCTACTTACCCGAAGTGCTAGGCAACTACCAGACTAGAAGTCCATCCACACTGGATTTTTTCCACCTCCCCAATTGAACTGATACATCCCCCGAAGTATCCTTCTTAGATGGCTGTCATTCTTAAATGGTTCATTTCCTATTGCGGCGCAGGAGATGATGCTGAAGCAGATAGCAATCTGAAAGTGAGTCGGTGCAAAGGAAATTACAAAGAAAGACCCAAATCCAGAATTCAGTAGCAGGCGTCTTTTTTGCTTATATGGTGATAGTTAGATAGAAGAGATTATTTAAAAAAAATAAATATTACACTGGAGATTCAGGCCTCGGGTAGGTTTGTTTTCCTTCAGCAATCCTGAACTAAGAAGAGTGTCCCAGCCATGTCGATATGAGGATTTGAAGAGGTGATGTTAACAGTGGAGGTTCACGATGTACTAACCGGGCTGAGTTGAAACGTAGGCTTTCTTGAGTTTCACTGGCCAGTGCAGTGCACATTAAAGGCAACGTGCTTTGTCTACACTTAGAACTTGTGTCTCAACCTGTTTCAACAATCTCCCTCCCCTTTTCTCCTGGTCTAGACCAGGTGATACACACCAAGCAAGTGACGCTAATTAACTGAGTAGGAGAGGGATCCTCATTCAGGCTGTTTAAAGCTTCTTGGATTGATGCTCACATCTATTTAATTCAAATGCTTGAATAAACACTAGGAAGAAAAGCTCTTTCATTAAAGACTTACCAACCCTATGCCTTCCAATCTGAGTGGAGAGGGCTATGCACCATGTACATCCTATCTAAGGTTAATTATGTGGCTGGAGTTAATGTATCTTAATTCAAATTTCCCCACCATCTCCACAGTGGGAGGCAGGCAGGAGCAAATGCTTCTGTAGACTACCCTTACTCTTTGCAGGAGCAAGAGTACCAGCCACTGATGGGGGTCTCCCTCTGAGTTCAATTTAGCGGGTCTTTACTAGACCTACTAAATCAAACTCCGGAAGATCGATCACAGCAGTTTCGATCTTCTCCCTAGTGGAGAGATGGCCAGAGCTTATCTACACTGAGATTTCAAGGGATGCTATTAAGAAAATAGTAGCTAACAAGAAGGTGGTAGCCAAAGCATTCTAGAAGTCTAGTGTAGAAAAGGCAGTGTAGATTTTAGTGAGGACAACAATTCTCAACTCTCTCCGTAAAGTGCTTTGGGATCTACAGATGCAGAATGCTACATAGGAGCTATGTATTACTAATTATTATTTACATGAATTAAGATGGCAGAGCCTCTTGGGAGGTCAAAGGCTGAAGCAGTACACATACCTACTGCTGGCCCTGTGTCTAGGGGTGCTTATTCCACATCATGGGGTCCTCCAAGGAAAACAGGAAACACAAGACTGGACCTTCCTGGCATTGCTAGAGTAAAAGGCACACTATTAATATTAAAAAAAAAGAAGGAACAAATATGCACAAACTCAGTTATGTTCCTTCCCACATTCAGATTGCCTTTAAACCCTGGAACTAGCTATGTGAGGGGGGCTCTAAGTCATATGAGAATGAAAGATGCCTTTGGTATTTATTTATTTATTTGTTTATTACTGGAATAGAGCTGAGACCACTCCTTGTACTGGCTTCGTTTTTTCTGTCCCTTCCCCCCGTATTTTTCTGTATTTTCCTTTGTTTGCCTGCTCTCTTCTGGCTTTGTCACCATTGTCAAATGACCCAGCATCTGCTCAAACAATGAGGAGTTCTGTGGCACCTTAAGGACCGAATACAATTTATTAGGGCACCAGCTTTTTGTGGTTTCATGGCTTTCATGTCTGAAGTGGAAGCTTCCGTCTGGCAGAGCTGTATACACACACACAGAGATAGGAGTGTTACATTAGTGCTGATGAGGTTAATTCAATCAGGGTGGAGGTGGCCCACTTCCAACAGTGATAAGAGGAGAATGGGCATTGAGCTAGCCATTCCTAGTCTCTATTCAGACCCATTCTGATGGAGTCAAAGTTGCATGGGAATTCCAGCTCTGCAGTTTCTCGCAGCAGTCTGATTTTGAAGGTTTTTTACTCAAGGATGGTAACTCTCAAGTCTGTAACTGTGCGTCTAGGAGATTAAAGAGCTCCTCTACTGGATTTTTGTATGTTACCATTCTTGATGTCTGATTTGTGTCCTTTTATTCTTTTGTGTAGGTCAATGTACAAGGCAGAGGGGCATTGCTGGCCCTTGATGTGTAGGTGAATGAGCCCCTGATGGTAGGGCCAAAGTGGTTAAGACCTATGATGGTGTTGCTTGAGTAGATGTGCTGGCAGAGTCAGCAATGGGGTTTGTTGCAGGGATTGCATCTGCTCATGTGAGCTGAGTGAGACGTTCAGATGCTGCCTAGGTCCCCATGCTCCTGGGACAAGTAGCTGGGAGGGGGCAACAGGGATGTGAAAGGCTGAGAGAAGAGGCTGCACAGGATTAAACCCACCTCACTGTGGGCATATCTGTCACATTTAAAGATCTGAATTCAAACCAAAATCAGGGTTGGCAGAAGATTAGCAATGGAAAGTCCCATACGCCATTAATAAAGAGCATTAATTATTACTACTCATATTCCAGTACCCCTTAAAGGCCCCAAATAAGATCAGGGGCCCACTGTGCTAAGTGGTGTACATAACACATACTAAGGCCAGGTCTACACTGTGGGAGGAAGGTCGGCTTAAGGTATGCAACTCCAGCTGTATAAGTAATGTAGGTGGAGTCAACGTTCCTTAAGCTGATCTTGGCTCCATCTCCACAGCAGGAGATAGATGGAAGAAGCACTCCCATCAACTTCCCTAGTACCAGCACCAACCGGGGTGCCCTCAGCATTTGATTTAGGGGGTCTTTACTAGACACACTAAATTGAACTCCAGAAGATTGATCACCGGAGCATCAATCCTTTGTAAGTGGAGACATGGACTAAGGAACAGTTCCTGCTCTGAAGAATTTACAGTCCAAATAGATAAGAGAGGTGAAGAGGGGGAGAAAGGAAGGGTTATTTTACAGATGGGCAACTGAGTTCCAGAGAGAAATTAAATGATTTGTCTAATGTTTCATGCGGAGTCTGTGGCAGAGCCATGAATGGACCCCAAATCTCCTAACTCCCAGACTGATGGCTTAACCACAAAAGCATCCTATCTCTGTAAAACATTTCTCTTCTCTGATGAGCATAGTGTAATGACCCAGTCAGAGAGCTATCTGGGGGCAGAAAAGAGGTTCAAATCCAGCCCAGGCTGTTAGTAGAATGTGTAGGAAAACAGGTTTTCCATCACAGAGGAATTTCCGATGTTCCAGCATTTATTTTCATCCTGAATGAAGATGATTTTTTTCCCCAAATTTCAAACATTTCACAAAATGAAACATTCAAACAAATTCCTTTCAGAAATGGTTGGATATTTTTGAATGAACAAAACTTTCTGTTATTCAAAAAAAAAAATTTTTTTTTTGCCTTGCACGGGCAATTCAAAACAAAACCCTTTGGAGTCGACAATTGCACTTACTTCAAAATGAACATTTTCATTCAGACTTTTTCTGCACGGAAACTTTAAAAACCAGAATCAATCATTGATCGTTTCCCACAACGAATTCTCATGAAAGCCGCATTTTCCTGTGGAAAAACTGAGTTCAAAATTTTCAACCTGCTTTAGAGCTTAATGGCCAAAAGCTGTTGCTGACTCTTTTGGGGTCCATCTGAAGTAAGTTTTGTGAATCTCAGCCAGATCGTATCACAAAGCCACTACAGTTAATGGCAGACTGGCTGGCTTAAAAGGACAGGTGAGCCCTAAATGCCCCAGATTAGAATTGAAGGCCCTGTTACCTATCAATGTACCTATCCGGTAGATAATGAGGTGGCAGTATCTTAGGGTATGTCTACACTGCCACCCTAGTTCGAACTAGGGTGGCTAATGTAGTCATTCGAACTTGCAAATGAAGCCTGGGATTAAACTATCCCGGGCTTTATTTGCATGCTCCCGGGCGCCACCATTGTTAAATGCCCAGTAGTTCGGACTCCCTGCCCGCGGCTACACGAGGCACGGGCTAGGTAGTTTGAACTAAAGAATTAGGAGCTTTAATTCGAACTGCCTAGCTCGTGCTGCGTGTAGCCATGGGCAGGGAGTCCGAACTACTGGGCATTTAAAAATGGTGGCGCCCGGGAGCATGCAAATAAAGCCCGGGATAGTTTAATCCCAGGCTTCATTTGCAAGTTCAAATGACTACATTAGCCACCCTAGTTTGAACTAGGGTGTCAGTGTAGACATACCCTCTGTCTGTTAGCTCTCCACCTGCTTACATGAATTCCACTGGTTTGTGCTTTAACCCCTCTATTGGCTCTGTGAAGCAATTCCTTTCCATTGCGGGAGGTGTGAGGGGAATTCATGCAGCTGAAGATCAGAAGACTGATTAAAAAAAATACTGTAACAGTGTAACGGCAACAGGAAGTGGCTGCTAATCAGATAGCTCCACGGGGCTGCTGGCTTTATACAAGTCGCCTGAGAGAATAAACCTGCGCCCCCTACTCCAACTTGTATCGCTCGTTGCCCTCTTCTAAAGCTCACGGAGAAGCACTCCAGGCAGTTTGGTCTGGGGTTGATGGAGAAATAGTCATACAAAATCTCAGAGGGGTAGCCCTGTTAGTCTGTAACTTTAAAAACAACTACCCAAAATATATAGAATCATGAGCTTTCGTAGGTAAAACCCAACCCATCTGATGAAGTGGGTTTTACCCACGCAAGCTCGTGATTCTATACATTTTGGTTAGTCTCTAAGGAGCCACAGGATCACTTGTTTTTAACAGTGGTACAGTTAGATGGAATGGATCAACAGCGCTTGTTGATTTCTAGTCTATGCTGTTGGTCCATCTTTCTCGCTCTGGGAAATAAATGGCCTTTTGGTGGGCTGAAACCTGCCAGCTGCACTCCCACACACAGAGATGCTGAGCGAGTGTTAATCAGCCTTGTATTTTTTAATAGATGTAGGCTAGTAGCTCCCAAAGGCCTCAGTCAAGGTTGGAGCTCTGTCATGCACACTGAGGATGCCTTGCCCGAAAGAGCTGGCAATGTGCATACACAAAGCAGTTGAAAGGTGAGTGGGGAAGCAGGTCCAGGGTGGGGAAGTGGTTCACTCTCATTGCTTGGCCAGTGGCCGAGCTGGGAACAGAGCCCAAATCTGAGATGTTTCCATCCTCCTAAGAGAGTTAGGAGCTCAGATGGCCAGAATCTCAATCCATTGACCTAACCACTGGGCCTTGCTGCCTGTCTGATAACGGCAGGACTATTCTGACTCCAGCTGAAGAGCAAGCCCAGGCTGTTGCACTGACAAGTGGTCCTCCAGGCAGGCAGTGTCGCTGGAACTAGTGTTGGAGTGCTCCCCCCCCCCCACTTTAGACCCGTTGAGATCAGGTTGG